GTGTTTCTTGATCTACCTCATCGTAAAGACTGCAGGACTCTGGGACAGGACCCTTCTACCTTGCACAGCCCATGGTGTCCCTGAGTGCCTCCAGCTCTGCCCTCCTTCATCTCATCCCGGACCCTTCATTCTTCTGAAGTATTTTTCCTCAAAGTACACTAGAGCTGCAAGAAGAGCTCTTGCCTCCTCTGCTGAGTGCATGAGGTGTCAGAGTCAGGGTGAAGGCTGGGTGAGGAGCTGCAAATTAATTGTAAAGCTTCCTGTGACACTACAGGGTGTTAAAGAATTTTGGATTGGTCATAAATCAACAATCCTGGCAAACAGGGCAGAAGAACCATTTATTCTTGAGCATTTTAGACCCAAACCATTTAAAGGCAACTTCAAAATGTTTTCTCATTTCACATGAAAATATGGTGAAATTCTGCATCTGTCAAGATGAAACTTCCCTATTTTTTCCCCCATGAATTTATTGGTTGGATTTTTGAAACACTTAAATTTACAATTCAACAATTTGAAACAATTATCAATTCACAAAGTACTTTGGTTGACCTGAATCTGTGTTTATCTGAGTGGGGCTGGCCTTGGCACATCCCTCACGGCGGTGAGAAGTGACACATTGGGGCTGTTATCCATCATTCCAGGGCTCAGCAATTAGCCCTATAGCCTGTACCAAAAGGGGCAATCAACACTTTATGAGATGTGTCCCAATCCCCACCACCCCGTTCTCTCCATTTGCAGGAAGCTGATGTGAAGATTTAGTTTGTTTCACACTAAGTAAATAACCAGTTCCAGTGGGAGGCATGGGCAGCTGGCCGGTTGCCCAAGGTGCCTGCAGCAGGAGAGGCACACCGGGCTGCCTGCTGCTGTAACATCTTACGGGAATGTACAATTGGCACTAAAACCCACGTGTGCCAGCTCCCAGCTGAAGCCCTTGCACCCTGCTCAGATACCTGTGTTGTCCTGAATCCCCCCACTTTTACTTTTCCCTCTTCACCTTCCCCTTTCTTCTCCACCTTCCCCTTTTACTTATTTATTTATTTCTTCCTAGAGAATCACAAAATCATTCAGGTCGGGAAAGACCTCTATTGGAGCACTTAGAGGAAAACCTGGCAGATTTCTTGAATTTGGCCAATGAAGACAAACACAGGACCTGCCTGGATCTCACAGCCACAAAGCCCAGCCCGAGCTCACACCGAGCTGGCACGCTGCTTGTGCACCGCCTGCGCCCAGCGATGCAAGGATTACTTGCCCTAGGTGAGCTGATCAATAACCTTTTACATGGCATATTTATTTTTTGAGCTTTATCTATAAAATTAGAGCTGAGCAAATCAATTTGTGTAATAAGATCTCTAGTCACAGATCCTTTAGTATTTGGTTTATATCCTCTAGTGACCAGAGCTTTTAATACCTTTCAATGCTTTGGGATGGTGGCAACGTTGCCTGCTTTTGTGCTTTTTCTGAGTTCTGAGATATTTGGGCTTGTGTTTATAGTCCTCACTTGTATTTTTATTATTCTGAAACTCACATCCAAGTAAGGCATTGGCAAACAGCTGCCGTCAGCTGCAAAAGAAATATCTGAAGCTCTGCTCTCCTCCTCTAGTGTTGCTTCACTTGCTGCAAACCCAATGCAAGCCAAAACAGCAGAAAGAACCCTGGGCTGTGGAAATGGCTTTTCATGGTGAATTTATTTCCACTTTGAAAAACTGGCAGCAGCTGTAGGAACTTCTGCAGCTGGAACCAAGGAAATGCACTTCAGGTGCTAAAGGGATGGACAGGAGGTGATGGGACACTAGGAGGCTTGGATGGTGGTAGGTATTTATCAGGTCAAAAAAGAAGGGAAAGATGTCTATCATTATCTGAAAAGTCCTGACTAGCTCTGTGGTTGTAAAAAATCATAAAAAATGCCATATATATGTATATGTATTTGGCCGAGCCAAGGCTGTTCTCCTCTTGGTGAGCAAGCTGCAGTGCTCTGTGAGCATCAGGGCTGTTGTCAGACCACATCAGGACTCTGAGTTGCCTGTGCATGTGAGTCGGCTCTTCAAAACAGCAAGTTGAAACCAGATTTTGGCCTTTATGATTTCTGCAGAGAAACAGGCCAAATCTGAAAATGTGTTGTTCAAATGGGACACCATAACACCTGGTGGGTATCTGATAGCAGCTGGCATTGTCTGACCACATAAATGGGACGTCAGAGTTTTGCAATCGATGTTAGTTTTGATGTTTCAGATCTCTGTCAGAATACTGTCTGTGTGTGTATGGAGCAGAAGTGCTAAAATAAAATTTCAGAGTGAATAACAAGGATTTCTGGGACTTTTGTTTTGGTCCGTAGCCTAGCAGAACTCTCAAACACACGCAGTTTTAAGGAAGTGTGTAACATCTTAAGTGAATTTGTTTCAGCTGTGTTCACGCCTTTTTGTCAAGTACTCCCCATGAAAATTTGGACCATAAAATCCTTATGGTATGAAAGTTTTTTTTTCTATAAAGTTTAAAATTGTGTGCAGCAATACTCCGTATCCCAAGCTAATATTTTACATGTGTGAATCAAAGTATTAAGTTCACAGGTTTTGACCAAAACTGATATTTATTATGTGATACAACCAATATGCTACTACTTACCTGTTTATTCACAAAATTGCACCATATGTCATAGAATTATGATCTGTACAGTAGCATACATTAAATTAATTAAGTAATTTGTGTAAAAGATTAGCTAATCTAAACATATAATTCCTTCTTTTTTCTTTTGTGAGCAAAATAAGGCAGGAGGGACAGCTTGCTTAACTTGATATCCATATACATATATTCCTGGCATTTTAGGAAATTCATCTTCACAGATTTCCTTTTCTTAGACTGGGATAACTCAAGTTTTTGGACATTAAAACAATTTCAGACAAAGCCTGAGAAAATGGGTCCTGTTTTCAGAGGTCATCAGCTATGATGGGGAAGGTCACCAAATCTTCTGTCAGTAGAGTTACCAGGTTGTAAGCAGATGTATATATCTGGGGCAAAATGATTTAAAGAGGTAACATTTTTAGTAGTTAAAAGATGTCAGTTGAGTAAATAAACCTAGACTATCATGTATGAGTTCTCCTGCTTCCCAAAGTTCATTTGTGATAACAAGACTCTTGGCATTTGGATAATAAACCGTGATCTAAGGGCTATTGTAAGCAGGTTGAGGAACTCGGATGGTGACATTAATGATGCAAATAATACAATAACATTTGAGAAGAAACTTCTTGGGGGGGGGGAGAGGGAGGAGACAGGTAGGATGAAAGGGCAGCCAAATGCAAGAGAACAGGGACAACTTCATCATCATGGCCCTTCATGCAGAGAGGGCATCCACCATCTATTCACCACACACAGCTTATATTTTTGTGTCAGTTCTGTGAAATAGCACTGTGAGGAGTGTGTTTGAGATAGCAGGACATAAGCAATGGTTACGATGCCTGTCTGAATCAGTTTGTCTGCTCACATCAGTTAAAGCGACCAAGTAACCTGGGCTTAGTGAGTCACTCGTGTTGGATGAGCTGTGGTGACTGTGTGGATGCGTGCTCAGTTATCCCACTGCCATGGGTCTCACTGGATGATTGACTTTGCAGGGAGTTACCTGCAGGCATGTTTGGATTGTGTGAACTCATCCCAAATCCCATTTCAGTGGAAAAATATTTCTTGCAGATCTGTGCAGGGAAATGCTAGAACTCCCAGGAACCCACTTGTAGACCTGTAGGATCCTGGACCTCTTTGTGTTCATGAGCCTCTGACACCCCCTGCTTTTCAGCTCTCCACCTGAACCTTTATGCCCTTAAGGAAAGCTTCAGCTGCATGAGTGTTTCCACATTTTTTTTTTCCCTTTATGCACACTCCTTGCATGCTGCTGCTGCTGTTTTTTCTGTTATTGCACGTTACTGTGCATTGCCCGCCTGTGTGGATGTACCTAGCGAAGCAGAACAGGATGAGTTTAAATCCTTCATTCAGCATCTTCTCCTGGAGGAAGCCGGGCTCTGGAAGACTGAGGAATATCAAGACACAAACCATCTCCCACCCTAGTCCTAATCCGAATCCTATCCTTGCCCTAGATAGAAGCCACAGTGGAGGAGGTGGCTGCGGTATTGAGGGTGACCAAACCTCTCTGCTAAAACTGATGTTCCTGTATGTGCGTGTGCTGTCCCCAGGCTGAGACTGGTCCTTGTGCTGCTTTATCTTTGCCAGGGGCTGCCTGACATTTTTGGCAATGCACCCCCAGCTTGGTACTGATCTGATTATACCTGTCTCATCTTGGCCAGCATAGCAAAAGAATGCAGTTTTGAAGTAGTCCTGTTTTAAATTGGCTTTTTTTTTTTTTTTTTTTTTTTCTTTCCACCCTAAAAATTGTTGCAAGTCCTGTAAAGGAGCCTGGAACTGCGGGAGAATGGCGAGAGTTGCAGGGGGCTGAGCAGGCAGGGATCCAGGGCTTGCAGGGTGAGTTGAGAAGCACTGCTGCCCCTGCCAGGGCTCCTCTGCAGCTTCCAGCATTAACTGGAGGTTTAAAGCCAGTTCTCCTGATTTTGCTGAGAACTGTGAAAATGACTTCAGGCTTTAACATTGATTGCTCTGGAGAGCAAGTTATATGCACTGGTAGCACAGGCCAACTTGTTTTTAGTGATGGGAAATAGTGAATTTACCTCTAAAATGCTCTGGATTTAACACATTTGTCTCACGAAACCATTTTTTACTTGAATACTTGATCTGCTTGAATGGCTTGACCAGGATACAGCCATCATTTAGCACTTGTTAAAAAATAAGATAAAATAAAAATCCTCAATACAAAATCAAATTAAATAATGATATACATGGGAAAGAGCAAAACGGTGTTTGCCTAAATCTTTCCTTTGCTTGGAGACAGTCACAGAACAGTTCCTGTATTTCTGCCAGGTGGATAAGGAGTTTGCCTTGGTAGTATTGAAAACTTAGTGCTAGAAACAGGGTTTACTGAAGACAGAGTAGATGGATTTAGTAATTGCCATGTAGTGTTTGCAGAATAAATAGGAGGACATCAGCTTCACCAGTGCATGTTTTATGAGGGTAATATTCAAAATCTTGACTCTTTTATTCTGTGTATTGTAGCCAAATTCATTAATTTTAAAATCTGTGTCCTTTCCTCCACAGATTTTAGACTAAGCATGAATTAGCAGTGTGGGTGGCAGATAATACACAAACTCTGCATAGTTCCGGTAATATTGTTGGCCTTTCCCCTCCAGTTTATAAGTCAATTTTGGCAACAGCAACCTATGTCAAATGTGAGCTGCTCTCTGATCAGGTTACAGCCTACGCAGCAACACGAATTAAGTTTTTCTCTCGTAGGACTATGGGTGGAAAATATAATCAAAATTAGCAGATAAATGAATAAAATCTCAAGGACAATGACTGAATAAACATGTCTGCTAAGCAATTTTCTAACAGGAAAATCTGGCATCTCTCACGTGAGGAGAAATACGGGGGAGGAAAGGAACACTTAGCTGCTGAGCCTGAACAAGCAGAGAAACAGAGACTCGTGAGTGATGTCAAACACCAGGTTCTTGGGGTAAGTAATTTAAAACTGCCCACCCGGCTGGTGTACATGGTCTCTTCTGAATGTTGTAGGACAGTTATCATATTTCCTTAGCTTATGGTCATGCATTTAGAGCTATCCCCAGAACATCAGCCTGCAAGTCAGCCCACATAGAGCTGGTCCAGTGGCTTGTGTTACGCAGCACCTCTTAGCAAGCTTTGTGGGGGCCCAAGAGGACTTACAGTATTATGGGCCAGGACCTAATGGCAGGATGCGCCCTATATTTTGGGGACTGAAAAGAGTAAGGGGACTCATAAAAATAAATATGTTTAATAGCATGGAATGAAACAACAAATTGAAATTGCACTGAAATACAATTCTGGGGTTTTATAATCTACAGGATCTTATTAACTTCAAAGACCTGGGCAAGTTGGGAAAAAAAAAAAAAAAAAAAAGCAAAAAAAAAAAAAAAAAGCAAGCTTTTCTTTCCATCTCCAAAACACAGAGAATTTAGAACATTTTTATAGTACATTTTAGGACAATGACTTGGGCAATGTGTTTATCCACTACACTTACCTCATAAAACCCGGTTTATACAGTCCTGGAATCAATCCTGTTCTGGTCTGGGGTTTTCCAGAGCAGGGTCTGCCAGTGGAAGCACTTTATGATATGGGACTAATGTGTCAAAGGTACATAGACCAGAGTTATTGCATTCACCTCTGTTTGATAGGAAGCAGATACTTAGATAATACTTGTCATGGGCCAAGGAGAACCTTTCAGTGCAGCCCAAGGTATGAAGGCACTCATCTGTTCTCCAGGATCTGATTTTCTGAATTCATTTGCATTTGATAGGACAACTAGAGCAAGAGTGGCACCTAAAAATACCTCCAAAGAAGGAATTTGAAATTGGAGTTTCCTGTACAGTTGACTTGATCATGCCAAGGGTGGCCATTTTCCAGTGTTGAGTTTTTGTTGCTGTTTGAATTTTATTGTGTATCTATTAAAAAAAATCCAAAACACTTCATTGGAAAATATCACAATGCATCTTTATAGCTGCAATATTTTCAGTAACATAACTTCATTTTTTTTTCAGTGAATAAAGCAACCTGTTTCTAGATTTCTTTCTAAATTTGAGCTTTAACTGGTTTTCAGCTCACCGTGCCCAGCTCCCAGCCAATTAGTAGGCAAAAGTTTGCAGGCTGAGGGGTGGAAAGAGCCAAGTATTGCATGCTTCAAGGTGAAGGAAAGCACGTCTCTTCCAGTGAGATCCTGTGCTTGCTGCTCGAGTCTTTCCTCTGGATGTTTGGTTTTTCTGAAGGCTGTTCTGTTTCCCATGAGCTTTTGGAGAAGCCTGAGAAGGAAAACATCTGGGCCATGGAAGAGCTGGGTTAGACTTGAAAAGGAAAAGAAAAATGTGTTGAAGAGAGTTAGCTGAACTCTTTTTATCTCACCCTAATAGGATGATTTGAGTTCTGGATTAATGTTTGAATGCCTACTCATTTTAGCCAAAGTTATTTGTTTATAGTTAGTATTCTGCAGCTTTTGCTCTAGCTCTGCAGAGTGTCAGCAATTACTGCTATTTCTTTTTGCAGCAAGGCAGAAGTTTGCAGTGTGGCCACCGCTGCCCCTCCAGCCAAGTGGTTGTAACGTGCACATCGCTACCCGGCCACATTGGAGACAGAGGAGAAAAATAGGAATTCAAGCCCTGTCTAAAAAGTAAAAGGGACAAATTAGTTTCTTGTCGCTGCGCTGCAATAAATACATTGTCATTTTTATACCCCAGTGAATCATATTCTCCATTTCCCCCGTAACTATTATACAGTCTGCTGGCAGTACATCATTTTTTGGTAATTTTATTTTCACCAATTGTTTTATGAAATTTTTGAGTTTTATGGACACTAAAACAAATCTAGCCTGCAAGTATTATAGCCCTTTAAATCACCGGCAGGAAATCTCAAGGTTCCTCCAGACTGTGAGAGAAGGAAGCTTTAGGAAAGAAAGATTGCTCCTAGCTTATAAACTGAGCAAAAACCCAGAGATAAGTTTGTAAAAGGGGCATACATCATCACTGGCAAAAGCCAGGACGTAAAACAACATCTCTCTGCTCAGCTCCCTTAAAAATAAAAATGGATTTTTATTTAGCAGAAACACTAAAGTAGTTGGGGAAAGGAACACACAAGCTTTTCCATGCTTTCTTAACCATAACAATCCTTATTTCCTACAGAGCCACCGTGTCAGGCACCACCTCAGCTAAATTGCAGTTAATTGTAGTCCCAAAACCCTGATTCTAATCTGAGTGCATGTAGGACTTGTCTGAAGTTGGTCCTCAAGATGCTGAGGAAGTGTTGGCACTTGGTATTTTGGAAAGGTCTCAGATATGTTCTCTCTTGCCCATAAGCTTTGCTAATATTTTTCATCACTAATCCCGCTGTACATATTTTTGAGAAGTTGCACAACTTTTCAGACAGCGAATAGGAGACCCCTATCTGCAGAGCCACCCTGTTTGCAGTCATCCTGGTGTTGGTCTTTGCTGAGGGGCAAAGGATTATGATTTCCAAAGCTTACATCAAAAATCAGTCATGGTTTGATTTATTTTGTTTGTAAGTAACATTTTTGTTCTAGATGTACTGCTTGATGTGCTTTGCTATCTCTGAATATAAAAAAGTAAAAGTAGGTGGGATGGTCTTGCCTAGATGGAAACATTAAAGAAGAACTCTCTTAACAGTAAACCTCATGGGTTCAGATGGACAAGGTCCATCCAGTTCTGACATGGCCTTTGCAGTTAGAAATGAGCTATCCTTTTTCACTTTTTCTTTTTTAATAGCATCTTAGTGTATTTAAGTTTCTCAACAGAGTTAGGTTAAATATTTGTTTTGTGAATTGAATGAAACATTACTTTTAGAGCAAATTAAATCATTTTTTTTTCTAAGCAATTAAAAAAATAGCAGAAATAAGAAATTTGAAAATAATATAATAATGAAAAAATAATATAAAAATGGCTGCTTTTTCTCAGACCTGTGGTCCACTGTGGCCAGAACAGCGTAAGTGCATATGCATATAATATTTCTTTTGGTATATCCTTCCAGCAATCTATTATGTAGGAACTTATGAGCCAAAGGGAACACATTTGTTAATGGCCCTTGATGGATTTTTCCTCTGTGAATTTATTGAGTTGAACATATGTATGCTCATGACTTCCACAGTATAACGTAGGAATGACTTCCACTGTTTAACATGTTGTGTGATGGAAAAATGTCTCTGTTTTCATACTTTTTCGCTTGCTGCTTAGCTGCCTCTTGACCTGATGCCTGACCTGCCCTTGGATGCCCAGGATATGAAAGATTTCTGCCCGAGTCTGCCCTGGTCTCCTTTCTTCCACTCTGAGGTAGGCTTCTGTTTGTTGGACAGATAACTTCCTGAGGGAATGGAGGTGCTGATCCCAAAGGGGGGCTTGCTTTACATGCTGCAGATTTGGGAGGCTGTAACAGCAACCATTGTTTGTTGGCTAAAAATCAACCCTGGGCTGAGGCTTGCTATCCTCTTAAAAATCCTAAAGAACTGAAACCAGTAAGGATACTTGCCTGAGTAGATGGTTATGTGGTTGCAAAATGAAAATTTCTGAAAAGTACGTACAGTCTAGAATCTCTAGGTGCTAACATTCACAGACTACAACCTTCAGCCTATGCGTGTTGAATAAATCAGTAAGTAAGCATGGGCTAGTTTTCAAGCTGTGTTTTCATATTACCTGAAAAGAAGGACTCATGGGTTTGGAAGCAGACTGATTGTGAATGCCTGCCTGACGGCTGGTGTTTGCAGTCCTGGATTCAGGAACCTCTGTGCATTTTGTGTGTTTGGAGCAGGGCAGCAGTGCTGCCTTCTCTCTGACCTGCCACTGATGTTTGGGTGCTTCAGGAAAATGTCTTTAATAACCTGAGGATCTGGCTGTAACATTCTGGTTACCGTATGGTGATTTTTCTCCTGCCTCCATCCTGAGAGCATCTTCCATCTTGAAGACTTATAACAGGTTTTTAGTCTACTAGTGGTCAAATGGGTAATAGAGGTGAAACACTGCTTAATTTAAATGGCTAGGCAGAAACACAGGAAAGAGCACAGCGTGCAGTGAGTCAATGTGTTTAGTATGTTTGTCCCCTTCAGGAAGGCTTGTTTAAAAACAGGACATGGATGTGTGAGAGTTGTGAAATTTGGGATGTAGCTCTACTGGGCCAAAAGGTAGAAATGGAGTTAACCTGATCTGTTCAAAGCAACTTTGTGCCACTGAGGCTGTAGCCGTGTTGGTGGTATCAAATTCTACACTGAGAAAATACTCTTTGGGGTTTGGTTTGCAGTTGTGCTGCTGTCTGGCTCTCAGGTCTTTGGAGGAGGAGTGTGCATTGGTCAGGCTGGCTGCAAGGAAGAGTTTTGCAGGATGTGAAAGATGGGGGGTACAGCTCTATTGACAGGGCATTGGAGAGAAAAGGGGGCAGCAGGAAAAATAATCCACAGAGGCGTTGTTGTAGCTGGTGCAGCCAGAGGCACCGCGACCCAGCTGAGCTGCTGGGGCAGGTGCTGCCGCTGCTGCCAGACGCCACCGGCATCTGGGGGAGGTGACACGGGGTCGAGCTCCGTGATGCTCTCTTTGCTTCAGCAGCGGCCAGCTGAGCCAGACAACAAATTCACATCACAGTTGCTCTCTGTTTTATCAGCTCTCTGCCACCTCCTCTTTCAAACTAAAACCCATTGCACCACCCCTCAGCTCACTCCTTGCTGCTCTGTTTTCTCCCTGCTCTTTGCACAAAGTGTACTTCTTTTGCTTTTATTTTTACTGTCTATAGATAAATCTGCTTCTTCTCCCCCCCCCCCCCCCCCCCCCTTTTTTTTTTCTTTCTTCCATGCTGTTTAATCTCAACTCAGAGCCCCAGAGCTGGTGCAGCGTTACAACAGTTTTGTCATGTTGGCTGTCAGGGCGCTGACAGCCCCGTGACAGCTGGCAGATGTACAGATGATGGATGTTTTCTCCCTTGTGCAAGGACGATGGGATAAAAGTGCAAACAAACCGGGTAATAGATGGGAAAAGCAGAGCAATGTTGATAAGGCCTGGTCCTCACTCTGTGATGTATGGGAAAGCAAGCTGTGGGCAATTTGTTTCAGAGAAATGAGGGGTTCTTTGTAGAGAGGGGCACAAGGAGAAGAAGGAAGAAAGGAGCAAAAATAAAGAAATAATAATGGGGGGGGAGTGGAAGGGGGAACTTCCCAAAGCTTGTCTTTATTGTGGCAACACTAGCCTGTTGTTATGGCAATAAGCAAATCTCATTTCAAGGACGGACTTGGGGGTCCTTGGCTCACGTCTGTGCCTTGCATCCAGCGAGGGCCCCCAGGAGGAGATGTCTGGGGCTGGGAACACTGCGTTTCTGTTTGCTCCTTTCTGCTGCTCCACTCAGCTCTGCGCTGGCTCGCCCCTAGCACCTCCTATTATTCATGGTGTCTAGGTGTCTTCTGAAAGCTAACAAATGACCACACTGAGTACGGGCAGCAGATAAACTTTTCAAGCTGCTCACTTAAGCTGGGTAGTGGAGAAGTTCATAGGCACGTCTGGATCCACACAACAGGGCCGCTCGTCCCCACAAGCTGGCAGTACCACGCTCTGGACCAGCTCTGGGAGCTCCAGCTGCAGCCTGAGCTTCTCTGCTCCAGCTCCCCACTCCTGCCCCCAGCTGCCAGCAGTCAGTAGGAGGACACTGCACTGGTGCAAGTGGCCTGGGGCAGAGGGTGACATTGACCTTGAAGGCAGTTTGCTCCCAGGTGTGGTCCTGCAGCTGAAGGAGGTGGCAGGATGCAGGCATGAGGTGCAGGTCAGCGTACTCCAGCTGGTGTGCAGTGCAGGGAGGAGGATGCTCACATTATGGCCCCTCTTTATAAGAGACTTAACCCTGGCATGCCCTTTAAAATGCAGGGAACATCTTGCAGGGCTCCCGTATGGATCCTGAATATTAATCCCTTGGTGCGGTTATTGCTCCACGTGCCCTCGCACACCCACTTACCAGCATGTAAATTTTCAGGATGCCATCGTCTCCCTCACTTCCCTTCCGCCTTTGGTTCTGTCACTGTCAGGGACTTATTTAGGCCTGTAATAGTGATAATTTATTACAGCACACTTCCTACTGTGAGTAAATAAGTCTGTCTCCCTTAAATTCCCTGGGCAATTAGAAGAATGAAAGACTGTGCCACGTATTAGCATTTATTTTCTCCCAGCATTTATACAAGGCCATTTTCTTGCTGACAAATTGAGGGGCAAATTGTTCTCGAGAAAGTCTGTCAGATGGAAAGGTGTTATGATTAAACTGTTGGAGTAAATTTGGGTGACAATAAATCCTTTTATTGCATTAACTGGATTTATTTGCTTGCAACTGCCGTTAAGGATTTGAAGAAATAATAATAAACAGGTTGATTTTGCACCTGCTTAAGGGTAATTAAAATGCACTCTAAAAATAGAGAGTCTGCTTATAAAAAATCCATTCAGCGATCCAGGGGCTGCTGATCAGGACGTGGATGTAGAATTAGCTGTATGTGCATATTAGCATTGCATTAACAAAAATCCTAAAACGCAATGATGCTGCAGTGAATCCAGAGAGGGCTGCATTCAAACACCGACTGGAAGGGCTCAGAGCTGGTCTGCTGCTGACGTGCTGCTGCTGTGAGCCCTCCTGTGCTTGGAGCTGGGTGGGAGGAAAGTTGGCTGGTTTTATGGTCACTTTACATCCATTGCTGCTTTTGTCACAGCCCTGTATCTGTTCCACCCTGGAGGGGGTTTACAGAGAATCTTGTACTGCTAGTGTGCTGCTTGTGGGAAGTTTTTATGAAGCCTGGGTGGCTGAGCAGGAAAAAGAGGCATTTTGCTTCATCAGGAGTCTAGCCCCAGTTATCCCCATTGTCAGCTTGAACAAAGGGAAATGGGAACATTTTTTTACCTACGTTGTTTGTTGGTGGCCCTTTATTTGTTCCCCTTGAGGAAGGAAAAGCCGTGGGTATCATGAATGGGTAAGGATCTTCTTAAAGCCAAAATAAAAACAATCTGGATCAAAAATATACAACTTAAATTTTGGTGGGAAGTTAGGTAAACGTTAAACTATGGGGTGCCTTTTCAGAAAGGGCTTTGAGAACGAGGGCCTTTATATTAATTCCAAGGGGGCCCTTGATATTTTATGGCAGGAACTGGAGGACTGGACAAGTGGCGTGAATGTCTGGGTATCCACATTGTTACCATCGCTGCGGGGGCTGTGTGAAGAACCACATGGATGGAGAGGTGTCTTCTGCTGTGCTGGGCTATCTCATCACTTTGATCTCCCACTGTCACTTTTAGTGTTGGGTGAGACTTCTTCCCTGCCCTCAGCCTCCTCCATAGACAGATGTAGAAAATTGGTCATGGCTAGTTGAAATAGCTGGTGGAGATCTAGCTCTTGGTATTTGGACAGTGATAGCTAACAGAACTGGGAGCCTGGTGGCATATCCTGGTGCTTCAGCTGGTATCAAAACTGAAATGCTTCCTTGATCTTGATTCTTCCTCTAAGTTAAGCTGGGGAGGAAGCACAGCACGGGGTGCTCAGCAGCAGTGGCAGGAGGGGGGCTTCTTAGAGCCATTTACATGGGTTTGGCTTTGTGTGGGAGCTCATTAGGCTTGTTAGAAGGTGTGGGCGATTGTTTGTGGCCTGCAGAGGGGGAGCAGCTGCTCTGCGGACCTTCCCAACAGGGCCTGGCCTGGGCAGCTGCGTGGCTTTGCAGTGTGGCCAAATTCAGCGCCACCCCCTTTTTTTTTTTCTTTCCCTTTGTTTTCCAGCTGTTTGGTTCTGAGGAAAATGAGAACACATTCCTCAGCTGAAGAGAAAATTCAGCACATGCCTCTCCGATTGCACCCTAGTGCCCACATTTCTCCCCTGGTTATTCAGCCTGAACGTGCAGGCAGCCTGCCTCGGCCGGTGCTTGTACTGCCCGAGCCCATCCTGCTGGTCCTGGTTTGCTGGCTGTAAGCTGTCAAAACGATGTAAATAATCATGTGTGTTAGACTGGCCCTGGTGGAGGAGTTGTGGGTGTTTTTATCATCGCAGCAGAATAATCTCTAGGAGGACAGGGGGGTGTCAGTTCCAGATGCCGCAGCTTGCCAGTGGGTTGCGGTGCGGCAGCCGCCCACGTCTTGCTGCTACGGGGCTTTTCCTGCTCGTAGGGTGACTTACAAGTGGAATTGGTTTTCTTTACTTTAAAAAACTATTTTTTTCACCTTTTTAATATTCTTCCACACTTGCTAAATTAGAGGGGTAGAACATATGCTGCCATGCTAATGACTAATGAATATGTGCCGTTGATTTTAAATTACACATTTTGGGGAGTGATTTGCTGGAGCAGCTTGTACACACAGAAGGGTTGAGATGGTTTCACAGCCACTTTCCAAAGCAGAGAAGATGCTTTTCATCTGCGTTTGGCTTAGATGTACTGTTTAAGGTGCCTCTTTATAGCGAGCTGAGGAACTCTGTTTGCTCTAGCACTGGAGCAGCTCGACCCAGCCTCACTGCTGTGACATGCAGTAGAAACAGAAGACTTTGGCCACCGATTTCCAAGTTGCCTACAGGTCTCTCTGCTTTATTTGCCTCAACTGGTGATGCTTCTTGACTGCCCACTGCCACCTTTGGCATCCCATCAGCCTCCTTCACATCTAGTGCTAGTTAGAAAGATTTTAGTCCAAACTGTTCTGGGGAAAAACACTGGTAATTTGTAACAGGGACTTCTCCCTGTCCAAGTGATACCTTTGCATGGAAGGTTTTAGTTAAATGTTTCGTTACATTAGATTTCTTCTTGCTTTCTTTTCAAAGATTTCCCACATAGATGCCGAAAAGATTTTCTTCTTGTAACCTTGAACCCTTCCACAAGGTAAGCGTACCCATTTCCACACCATTCTCCCTGTCTTCCTGGCTTGTGTCAAATTGTTGCGTGATAATTTATTTGGCGCAAAAGTTTTCAAATCGGGATGTGTGGAGCGAAGCGGCTCCTGTCGCAGTTTGACAAGGTTATTGGAGGGTAATGTGGTAAATATTTTTCATCCATTAGCGGATTATAAAAGCGGTGCATCACACTACTGCTTGGCATCCGGGGGGGGGGGGGGGTGGAGAGGGTGGAGGGCAGGAGCACAGTCGTTAACTTAAGAGGTAAGAAGCCATCAGTCATCTGATGGATCCAGGAGGCAGAGCGTGCAGGAACATCTCACGTGTGCATGGATGTGTGTTTGTGTTAAAACTAACTATTCCGATGGAAAAAAAAAAAAAAAAAAAAGCAGATTTTTTTTTTCTTATCTTTTTCCATATTGACCCCTTTTCTTTTTTCTTTCCTGGTTTTGTTTCTGATTTCCATTCTTTCTTCATGAGGTTTTTCTGTATTTTTTTTCTTATCCTATCCCCTTAAAACCAGCATAAAGAGTTAGGAGTGTCTTGGTCTGCATCAGCATGTGGTCCGTGTGCTCCCTGCCCTCCTCACAAGTGCTCTGACCTGGCTGCTGAGAGTGGAAAGGATTTTTTTCTACATGGGACCTCATTCTGCACTGACCCCTCATCATTACTGTAATAAAAAAAAATTAATAATATAAATCGTAAACCATTTACTGTAGTGATAAATACAGTGACATATTTCTGTGCAGTTATTCTGTGCTTTTCGTACAAAAAGCAGGACTCAATCTCTTTATGTGTAAAATGATACTGAACTATAACTACCTTACAATGTTGCTACACTATTCTATAGTTATAGTCCTAAACAACATTATTCTATAGTTATAGTCCTAAACACCACAACTTTTGTCAATGTTACTAGGTAGGTTTCATTCTTACCATAGGGAAAAAAAAAAAAAAGGTACTATTTGGATCAGGAAGGCACATGTGAAACGCATCTCTTGGTTGTCTTCAGTTACCGGAGGCTTTCCCATCTCAAGGTGCCTGACCTAAGTTCCTCTAAAAACAGCTGAAATGGGAAATCCTCTTCAAGAGCATGGCTGGTGACTGCAGCCACCAAGGAGCATTTAGTCTGGAACCAAGCTGGCACTAGTCTGGAGCGAAAACCCCTCTGAACTGTGCCTAGTGTTGATGTCAGTCCTCAGAATTTTGCTTCTGCAGCTCCTCTTCTCTTGGTCTGCCTTCCCTGGCTGTACAGATGTGTCCCTGTGAGATGAGGGACATTGCCTGCTGAGTTGGACCCAGCCTGGTGGTCTGACGGGGCCAGCCAGGCCCTGCTTGGTGTGGTTCAAACTCACCCATGGGGACCACCAGCCTCAGAGATAATGTGCAGCAAAGTACAGGCTTATCCCTGCTGCTGGGCCATGGATCAGAGTCTGTCCCAGCAGCAGAGCCACTGCTGTAAGGCCATGATGCTGCGAGGGGCAGCAGGACATCAGCAGTGGGACTGGTGGGGTACAGGTGGGTGTTGGGAGGCAGCTGCGGGGAGGTAAAGGCAGTGGAAGCAAGGCAATGGGATTGTGACAAGACAAGGAGGCAGGGAAAACACTGCAGTTCGGCTTGCCATATTTTTTTTTTTTTTTAAGTGGGAAGAAAAAAAGAACGGCCTCAGTTATACAAGCAGTTCCACGCCTTGACTTCCACGCCTTGACTTTGGGAGTTGCTTATGGCCTGACTTGGTGCATTTTAGGGCACAAGCCTCCATTTGGAAGGATGGTTTTAACAAGAGGGCTTTTATAGCTTTCCGCTGTGGGCTGGGTTGCAAAGCAGAAGCAGTACTTGGCAAGCAGTTTCTCAGCAAACAGCCACGTGCACGGCGTTACAGCAGAATACAGCAACTGAACACGTCGGCAAGTCCTTGGCCTTTGCCAGGCTTCTGAGACTTTTTGCAAGGCTTGGCCTTCCTGTTCTTTGGCACATCTAAAAGTTTTGAGACCGTTGTTTCTCTTCTGCTTCTGTCCCCTTGCTCAGCCGCTGGCAGGAAGGCGGGCAGAGGCGCTGCCTTTAATTCTCACTTTCCCTTCCGAACGAGAGTGATCTATGGATGCGCAGAGCCCGAGCCACATTAGCGGGGAAGACCCTGCAGCAATGAGGCTCGAGCTCAGTGCAACTTCTGTCCATTTAATTAAGAAATGCTACTCATACAGAACTGAATACACTAACCTAATTTACTGCCGTGTCTGTCTGTCTCTCTGTCTAGCCTTTTGTCTCTCCCTGCATCCTATACAATGCCGTTGTATCTTATTACTCGAGCTAGGTAGATTCTTGCTTGGCTGAGCCGAGATCAAAAAGTAATTTTTCTTTTTGCAACAGCCGATTAGAAATTCATTTATTTTCACATTAGACGTTTGGCCAATACCTCCCTCCCCCAACAAACAGATCCCCCCCAACTTCGTCAATTTAGCTCCATTTGTATAGTCTGCATAATGGAAGACAGTGAGCCTGTTAGAAAAATGTGGCCCAGGGCAAAAATTAAATGCAGAATCATGTATCAGAAATGAGATGTATTTACTATTGTTTTTGAAAATTAATGGTGCATTTTTAGTTTTTATAATGTAATTTAATGATGCAATTCATCTAATAAAAAAACACATTTTAACTCAGTCACATAGACCTACTGGGGCAGGACAAAATGTACCTTTCAGATGTAAGATTTTTTAAAAATGCTTCAGGCTCTTTCTTGAATGCAAAAAAGAGAAACTCTTTGCGTGCATTGGGTAACAGCTGGGATATCAGCAGGAGTCCAATAAAAAGGACATTTTTCTTTCTAAATATTGGTGTTTGTGCAACATACAATAATATTATAAATGCAGCAGTGGGTTTGAAGTACAATGCTGCAGCTGATTATAGGATGCCATATGGTGCTGGCATGTTAAACTGATACAGGCTGAACATGGGCTGTAGCTTTAAATGCTGTGGTCCAGCAATTGTGCTAAACTAGAGTAAATATACTATACAGTGTCAATATATGGAGCGATCGTGTTCAGCAGCAAAAAGAAACTGTGTCAAAATAGTACAAATTGATTGGAGAACACCCACAAAGGTCGGCGTGGAGCAGATGCTCCTTCCTAGGCACTGATTGTGCTCCAGCTTTTGTAGAGAAAGTGCCCATGCCTCGGTTTTCTTGTTTAAGGCATTAAATGTTCTTTGTCCATTTTGCATCATCATTTTCACCTGCTCTGCAATTTGCCACGGACTTTAAAACCTCAGAAAAATGTAGTTTCACAACAGTGTGCAGACACAGGCTAAGGGGTGCTACCTGCTGGCTGCAGCCTCCCACCAGCACAAGCAGCTGCACAGGGACTTGGGCAATGCTGGAAAGAGACCCGACAAAGTTAGAAACAAACAAAAAAACAATGAAAGACGCTTGATGCTTTGCAGTCAGCACTGAGCTGCCGTGGCTCACTGCCACGCTGCTGCTGGAGGTGAGCAATGCGCAGAGCCAGGAGCACGGGGCTGCCTTGTTCAGCTGGTTTACTTCAGCTGATCGTGGTAAGTCCCAGGGTTTTTAATGTACTTCTACAAAATACATTCAGGTTTGATTTCCAGCTTTAAAATAAGCTTCCATCTGCTTTTGTAAAGCCTTGCTTTTATGGACAAAACTTGAAGTTGCAGCTGAGCACATTGTATCTGATACTGTTTTAGGAAAAATCCTTTCTTACTGTTATTAAAAATGTACATTTAACAGTAAAGGCTGAGATTAACTACATGAAAACTCTACCAGTTTGGCACTGAGGTGGATTTTGGTACAAAGCCGTGGAAGGAGAAGTTTTCATTTGTGGATGAACTGAACATCTGTTTTAATTTGTTTCCTGACCCTGGCTGTGTGATTTCCCAGTGGGCCCGAGGAGATGGCTCCTGTGACAAGTAAACGGGGAGGGTTCCTGTGAGCTCTGGCAAGGCACTCCTTGAGGGAAGCCCTTTGCTTTTCCATGAGGTTCGTTAAAGGGAAATGTCAGCTGGTTTGGGTCTAACAGGGGCTCTGCTGTTTGAGTTCCCAGTCACCTTGTAGGCACGAAGTGGAAATAGAAAAGCTGGGTCACTATTGGGGCAGGTTTCTCTGAATCTCAGGATTAACCTTCTTTTCTCTTCCCTTTACAGCCCATCTCCATGCCCACATTAGTAAGCCTGAGCTTATGGTCCAATGGATGGATTTTGAACCATCCCCAACACATCCTCACTCCTGCTCTTCCCAGTAAGCCCCGAGAGCACCGTCTCTGTGTTGTCCCTGCCAGTTTACAGACCTAAGGCACAGCCTTGGAGAGGGGAGCCCAGCAGGAGCAGAGCAGCAAGCCAAAAGCAAAATCATCCCCACGATCTTACTGTCGGGCTTACTGCATGAAGAAACCCAACACACAAACCAGGTAAGTAAGCAAAGCACAAACATCACAGTGCCTCTTTTGTACTGCTCCACGTATGAGCAGTGGCAGAGGTAAAATACGTGACCCTGTGCTTTGTTTTCCTGTGCCACAGAATTTAAGCAACATAGAGAAATGTGCCTGTGGTACAAATATAAGCTTTGTTTGTTTTGTTTTGTTTTTAAGGGAGTGACTTTAATAACTTCATAACAATCATGTTTATAGTTTGATGCATTGGAGTAGGATTGATCCCAGCACTGGATTTCCTGCTGGACAAGGAGGGCCCTCGTTCCTGGCTTTCTGTGCTTTATAGCACCTGGGCTTCACTCTGCCTCCTTGACGGAAGGTGCCAGCTGCAGCTGGGATTAATGCAGCCTTGGCTAGCTGCTGGCAGAGCCTATGAATCCTCCTTGAAGGTCTCATATTGTGGAATTTTTCTGTCTGCAACATCATGTCACCTGTACAGGACTTAAAACCCAATGACACAGAAGTCTGATTTGATGTGGCAAATCCTGCATGGAGCTTGATATTGAGAAATTAGTGGTGCTTAGGATCTTAGGTCAGAAATAAAGGTTGCATTTTACAATTGAATGGTCCCTGACTCAAAGAGACTGTAGATTAGATAGAGGATTTGATGTAAAGAATATCTCAGGTTCATCTGTTAAGTAAAGAGGTGAATCTCTGCTAGGCTCTGATGTGTAGATGCATTTTTATTGTGAAAGAAACTGAAAAGAGTTTGTTGGGAGTTAGAATCTTTCTTTGCTCTGGCTTGGGGCACAGTTTAGTGAAGAAAAACCTTCAGGACAGAAATCAGAATCTGCGCATGCTGTGGTTATGAGATTGTTACAGAGAGAGAGAGTTACATGGGTAAATGGAGGCAGATGTTAAAATAAACACATTTCTTATAGCTGAAGAGTTAACTGACATTTAACATGGTGACTGAAGGAGTAGAGACAGACTTTTTTTATTTTTTATTTTTTTAAGTTTAAGCTAATTTGCTGGAGGCCTCATTAGTTGGTGCAGCCTCTGTATCAATAAACTGGCACTGGATTTCCAGAAATGCATCACATAATTTTTCAATGAAAAATCCAAGAGCCTAGGAGATGATGTTATGGTGTGAATTACATCGCAGAGCGGTTGTCAGCTGTCCCTGTCAGCACTTTTTCAGATGCCATAATGTGCAGTAAATGCTGTGGCTGCAGCTATTTAGGATTACTGTGGTGGTGGTTTTAGGGGAAGCACCACAAATTAACAGCTAAAGAAACATGTCCCTTTTTCTTGAATTGCCTGATCCTTAAACATCGCTTCACTGGCTGCAAGTTATCACCACTGTATCTGTGCCTATTTCTTCTCACCTTTTGAAATGAAGCATGTGTCCTTTCCCACTTTTGCAGATTTACCAGGAAGAAGATCAGTGTTTGCTCTGACTCTCCCATTATCATGCAAATACTTTCTAGCACAAAGGACAGTGAAAATACACCCATTCTTGTGGTTGGGATCACAGGCTCTGGTTGCTCTTTAACTACACCCAGCCTGGACCACAGACCCCATGTGAGGTCAGGACTCAGGGTTATCCAGCACAGCAAGAGAGTATGTCCCAGCTTGGCAAACTGCATGGCTTAAATCAGCAGGACAACCCAAAATGTGTTTAGTTTGCTTTTCAGATCAGGGACTGAGATGCACGAAGACTACAGGACTTGGCATGTGGAGCTGTTGCAGGCCCGTTTCCCCATCACTCTTGGAGATGTTTCTTAGTGTGCCAGACACTGCTGTACCCCAAGTAGGATTCAACAACCAGGGCTCCCTGGATGCCTGTCACTTCAGTAAATGTCCCTGCTACTCAAATATGAATTAAAGATGTTCTGTTTTGCTAAAATATTGAAATGCTGACAAAGCACAGCTTTCCTCCTCCTGGAATTAACTTTTCCAGCTCACCTTTATGTGTTGCATGGAGCAGAGTGGCTGTGGGCTTACAAAGGGGGTCACCCTGCCTGTGCTGCTGGTCCCTGGCTGTGTGCACCCCATCAGTGGGGTTTCAGAGCTGCATCTCCTGAGGTTACCAACAGCTATGGGTGGGTCTCATCCTGTCCTGTTAGGACTCCTGGTGAGCTGACCTGGCTGACAAAAGGTCTGGCTGTGCTCACTTTCTGGTAATTCATGGGCAAAAATAAACCAGATGAGCAAGTGATTCATCTTCTGGGGGACCTGGAGCACCCTGCTGCACACCGGGTTGATGATAGAGTGAAGTCTTAAGGTATGCAGTTTACAAATATCTTGCATTCAGGGTTTTGAAAGTATTTAATTAATTGAATCTCATACTTTGCAATGGACTAGCTGGTTATGGCTGTTTCCATACTACAGAGAGATTCTGTAAATCCAGGAGATTTACCAAGAAGTACGTGAATATAAACGTGTTTAGGAGTCCTTTGCCACCAGTTGCAGCCCAGGTGAACAGGTTACAGCGGACATCTGAGTGCTTCTGAAAACTTCCTTTTCTTGCAGTCAGCTGGGGAAGCAGACACTTGATCCTGTGCTCACAATCAGTCCTTCTGGCTCTGAGCTTCCTTTGCTGAGAGCCTGCACAGCTCTGCTCTCACCTGTGCGAAACCTCATCACCCACGAGCGTGAAACTGCATCTCCCACGAGCGTGCTGGGTCCTCTGCGTGAGCTGGGAGAGGCTTGCAGCACGCCTTGCCCACGCACATCTGCATTTCCTATACTCAGGATGCTTTTGCATGTTTTAAAGTTTGTTTTGCCATTTGTATTAAGAAGAAAACAAAAAGCCTTTCTCATTTACGTGGTACCAAACCAGCTGGTGATTCGGCTGCGGGAGCTGAAGCCCACGGGAGCTCACTGCAGCTGGTCACAGCTCTCCTGGCCGCCAGGCACCCAGTGCAGCTTTCCCTCTGCCCTGCAGGTGGTACTGTTCGACCACTTTGCAGCCCTCTAAGGCGAGGAGCTGCAGCTTTTCGGGGAAGCTTTAGCAGCGCATCTGGGCGCAGTTGCAGGCAGGCAGCAGCACGGAGCTGGGCTCTATCCGCTGCTCCCGATGGGTGCAAGGACCAAAGGCGTGCCCTGCCCCTGGGACACCCGGTGCACCCATGTGGCTCACCCACAGCCCTCCTGAGAAAGCACCAGCCTGTGGGGCTGGAGGGGTTTGTGCCTGTATCAGAGCAGCAGCCTTAATCCTTAACGTAGGCAGCTTGGGGCAACGGGCAATAACTTTTCCCCTTGGGAATTCAACATTTTTTCAAGGGCAGATTGCCAGAGTTGGTGTGATTTAATCAGCTCCTTCTGGGCTGCTGAGCTGGAGAAGAGCAGGGCAGGGCTCTGGGGACTCCGGCTGTTGACTGATTTCTTCTTCTGGGGAGCTGGTGCACAGAGCAGGAGGCTGAGAGAGGGTGACGGGCACCTTGCATACACACACTGCACGCTTCTGGTTAGGTTTGTGTGATAGATAACGTGGTGTTTGGCTTGTCCACCAGCTAGCTTTATAGGCACTGTGCTAGCCCAGGAGTTGCTCCTGACTTGCAAAGGTATGGGAAGAAATTTTCATCTTTCCTGACCTTAAATACTCGTATATCCGTGTCAGTGGTTCTGCTCCACCCTTTGCAGTTTTCCCGTACTTTGGGAATGATGCTCTGCAGTTACAGCTGCTCAGCCCCTTGCAGGGGGATGCTCGGTTGTGTCCTCCCTTTCCTCTGCACACACCTGCACTTCAGTCCTGAAGACCCAGTGTCCCCTTAAAGCCTACAAAGTGGGAAATCAGCCCCGCTCCACCCTTTCTGTTTGGACCTGCCTGTGGTGTTACTCCAGCCCCACGGAGAGTTCCCTAAGGCTGGGTTCAGCTCAGTACAGACAAGGTGTTTGTCTGATCCCTGCAGTGCTGGAGAGCCCCCACCTCCATTTGCTGCTGTGGGCGAAACGAAACCAGATGCAAACAGCACTGCAGCACCAAGTACAGCTGTTTTGCCCCGTGTTCAAGCCCTGCTGCAGCAAGTGTTGGCAGCACGATGTGTGAGACGTGTCCTGCACGTGCCTGTTTGTGCTGAGACGTCTGTGTAAAAAGCACCAGAAACGGGCACCTCTGTATCTGGCTGAAACTCATTTGGCTTTTGATTCTCTTACAGGCTTGCCATGCGGATGAGGTGTCAGCAGCTTTGAACTCCTCGTCATGAGGCTCGTGCCCCTGTTTGCAGCTCAGCACTCTGCCACATCTCCTTTGGCTGGGGCTCGTTTGCGGTGCTGTCAGAGCACCAACAGGTCCCGTATGGCAGCGCACGGAGTCAAGGCGTTCTCCTGGTGTATCCATCACTATCTCCGTCTCGTTGCCAAGCACTTCAAGCTTTCATCAGATCAATTTTCTCCCTTTGAAAGAAAAGAGGCTTGTTAACTTGTGTGTGGGGCAATGGGAAGCACTCACCTGCCTCTCCCCAGGGTGCTGTGCAGGCGTGGAGGGATTTGGGAAACGCGGTGAAAGCAGCTCAGGGTTCTGGCTGTGCTCACTGTAAGCCTTTGAAATACTGAGACTGGCTCAGTGGCTGGATGGAGGCTTGCAAAGGGGTGGACAGATGACCAAATGTCTGTAATAGGTGGGTTTTATGAGCTTCTGCTCTTTTCTGGATGCTTGCCTTCTGCATGGGCTTCTCATTCCCAGACTCATCGCTTTGAGAAGGTGAAGGCAGGGAAGTGGGGAAACACAGGCTGGATTTTGCCCATGTCTCATTGGAGAGGGAAAGTCGTGGGGTATCAGCAAGGGGCTCTGTGTCCCTCAGGTCTGTGTGGGGCCAGTCCTGAATGTGTTTTTTTTCTGGTTCTGCCTTCAGCTCTGGTTCCTCATCCCAAAGCCCTCCCTGCCAGGCCTCCTGTTCTCCCCACTGACCGCCCACTGCTCTGAAATCACTCCCCATGGAGTTGAGCAGTTCAAAGACAACAGAGGCACCAGATTAATCATTCCTCCCCTGCTTCTCTCCCCAGCCCAAATGGCTAAAGTGTCTTTATTATTAAAAAACAGAATAAAACAGAGCAACACACACAAGAAAAGCCCTAGCGAGGGAGACAGACACAAAGCAAAGGAAAAGGAAAGGGTTAGGCTGCAAGCTGCAAATAAGCACCATCAATCATAGTGCAGTCAAAAAATGTACATGTGTTGGTACCTGCGCGTTATTGGCAGGACTCAAGAAGCCTCCTGAGTACAATCTTCAGGGCTCCTTAGATAAATAAATAAATAAAAAAATTCCATGTCCCTCTGAAAAACTGCTTGTCAGCACCGGAATGGCAGGTGCATTAACTCCCTAAGAACCAGATTATGCCCTGCACGGCAAAAAAATGCAAACACAGAGAAATAAGATGTCAGTCAACTCCTGTATCCTCCTGGTGTTTTTGTTGTTGTTTATTTGTTTGTTTTGATGAAAAGTACTTTGAAATATAAATGCAGTCCTTTGTACAAATGGATCCAGGAAAGAGAGACATACAAATGCATTCGTGGTCCAGCTATCCTGCTTGCATATTTACCCTAAATTTGCATCTGCCCAACATATAAATTTTATTTTCTTTTAGTACTCCACAACGATAGCTGAAAAGTTAAGATTTGGTTAGGAAATAGCCTCTACTGCTGCTCTGATCTCGAGTCCCTTGGTGGGCTTCCCATCCCCTCCTGTAATCCTGCCAGACCTTGACACATCCCAGTGCCACCTGGCTGCCTGCCCACCCCTTGCCTTGGCTCCTCTTAGCTCTGAAATGTTTCCTCTAAACACCCACCTCTTCGAGAGCTACTGTCTTTTTCCCTTAGACCTATACTGCACTCTCCCTTTCCTTGTCTTTTCTTTTATCCTCTTTAGCTGAGGACTTCAAGTTGCTGGTGATATGGCCTGGGCTATTCTGCAGATGTGCTCTACATCTCTGGAGCTGCTCCCGTCCTTCTGCTCCTCCCTGCTCCTTTTCATATATATATATAAGAATATATATATAATATTCATATATATATATAAAGTATATATATTGTGTGCATATCTATAACATATATACATTTTTTTTCCAGTGGAAGCTGTGAAGAAGCAAGTTCCTCTCCCAGGATGAGTAAAGTTTGCATGACCTTGTGCCATGTAGATAAATGTTTTTGTGCAAAAGGCCATTAGCCCTTCCCTGAACCTGGCAATGTGTTTCTAAGATTCTTATCACATGTAGAAAGACACCAATTACTTTTAGCTGTGGGTGAGCCAGCTGTTCCTAGGACAACCTTCAGCCCTCCCAAGGACAGCAGAGGTGTCTGCTTGTTCCTGCTCAACCCTCCTGGGGACCAGGGCTGGGCGGCTCTTGGGGCTGGGTGATGGTTGAGGTGAGTGTGGTGGAGTCGCACAGGAGGGCTGCATCCCAGTGCCTGACCTAGCCATGCCTGGACCAGGGATAATTTGGCATCAGCACAGAGAAGCTGGCATGATGACAGTGACCCTGGGTGGCCACCTGGGCCAAACTCATCACCTGGAGCCCAAAGACACTTTGCTTCATTGCAAATTCACAGATCCATTTGTTTCTCTCTGGGGGGTGTTTTGATAAGATAGGCCTGGTGCTACACCTTCTGTTGTGTAATGGAGACGTTTCTAAAAGATTTTTTTTTTTTTTTTCTTGGCTTGATTTTAAATTAATCAGGCTCAAAGATTTATGAGCCTCTGAAAACTGTTTCTTCAGGGATGCCCCTTGATTGCACTGAAGGCAGAGTGGAGATCTGAATTTTCAGCATGGCTTCCTGTCGGAAACAGATCAATAGCCTCATAAGGAGGATCTTGTTTCAGAGTGGGAAAACAACAATTAAGCTGGCATTTATCTGTTACTGATTCAGGATAACAAAAACAAAAAAATCACGTTACAGAAATGTACAGAAGTAGGCTTGTCTGCCTTATCCATGTCTGAACGAATTCAGAGCAGGATCTCCAAAGGCAGCAAAACTCTGTCGCAATATTGAAACAGTCATAAAATGTAGCTGAAGCTTTTCTGTCAGGTGGACGAGCTGTGCCTTCTTAATTTTGGGGTTTTTGCTCTCTTTTCCTCACAGCATCTCACCTGAATCCTTGTGCTTCCCAGTGACGGCAGAGCCTGGCCACCCATGCTGCAGAGATGACAGGTTGGAGGACAAGAGCAGGGCTGGGGCCGTCCCCAGGGCTGCTGTACATGGCCAGAACATCAGGTTCGGAGGCTCTCCATCAGCATGCTGTGAAGGTCATAAAATAGCGAGCGGCAGAAGTAACCAGAGCCTGGGGCTGGCCCGGATCGCTCTTTCCTTTCAGAATTAAGGAGGCTGCTCGGAGCTGCTTGCGAAGCGATTGCATTGAAGAACCCCAAACTGGCTTCCACGGGGAACCGTGGCCTCCTTGCTCTGCGATATGCCCTCCTCCGGTCCAGCAGCTTTCTCTTCCAGACCACAGATTTATTTAATTTAGGTCCTACTGTTGGCAGAGGTTTTGCAGTGGGCTGTGGGTTAGGAAAAAGTAAAGAATTTTTCCTTAAGCAAAAAGGAGATGACATTGCACAGAAAAAATAGAGCAAAGAATAGTTTGTTGGCCGTTTTTCTTTTCTGCCTTGCTTCTGTGTGTGATGCCAGCAAAAGGAATTGCATTTTGGAGTGATTTAATGAAAAAATGACTTTTATTTCTAACTCCTTTGCCTGCTTCAGAGCAGAAGGGCCACACGATGGAGCTCTGGGGCTTCCGTCGGGGCCTGCCTGGATTCACGCATAAAAAGCCGTTTGGAGACCTTGAAATTCTGGTTTTTATTAATTTTTCACTCAGTTTAATTTTTACATTCATTTTAAAATGGTAAATGTTCTAGACATTATAATTGTAAAATGTAATTTATGGTTGCTAGCTGAAGGTATTTACTTTTGCTTTCTTAAGATTGGAACTTTTATTTTTATTTTTATGACTGTAACAGGGTAACATTTTTCAATCTCGTGAGAGGCTGGCATCCCAGAGACAGCCTCTGGGAGTTGGACCATATAATTCTTCCAAATGACACCCTGACTGTGTTGGGGAAGCTCTCAGGCCTCTCCAGGTCTATATGCAAATATTAAGCACCGGCCTTCCTGCACGTGTGAGAGAATAAATGATGTTTTGGAGTGCTCCTTGTTCCTGGTTATCAGTGAGCACTCAGCTGGTAAAATTAAACCAGTGCAGTGCGTTTGAAAAAGTGGATTCTTCAATTAGAATAAAAGCATGTAAAATCCCAAATTGTATGTCTATAATGAAACAAAAAATTTAATATTCTGCTGTGGAAAATAAGAGCTTTTCCTCCTTCATTCCATCTTTCTTTCTTTTTTTTTTTCTCTGTCCTTCTTTCTATTTCTTTCCCTCTTCAGAGGGGGTGAGCTCTCTCCTGCTACGTGCTGCTTTTCCCCGTGAACTGGTGCTGAGCGTGTCAGATCTGTTCAGCTCTGACTGCTGTTATGACAGGGCGTGAGTGTTTAATTACAATTGTATCACATAGACGAGGCGATTCGTCTGACTCGCTGGAGTTCGGCTGTAATAGCTGCGCACACACGTAGCTTCAGGTGACAAGAATTTTTATTTTTATTTTTATTTTTTTTCCTATTTATACACTCCAGCCTGCACACAGAGAAGACAATGAGATTCTGGTAGCTGATGGTCTCCTGGAATATCACTTGCTAATTACTTAACTAACACAAGCAAGCATTTTATAAAAGCTTTAGGAAACACTTCTGGGGCAGGGTGTGCAATATCGGTTACCAAAAATGTATGTTCCTCATTTCTGGAAGTTAACATTTTTATTAGAAATTTGAACCACTCGACAAAGGCTTCCGGAGAAGTTAGTCCCTGGTCTTAACAGCTACAGAGTGCACTGATGAGCACTGCAGTAAACCTGCTGCTAAAAATGCTATGAACTTTATGGGGAGTTGCATTTGCTCAAGTGGAAGGTGAATTTTAGCCCTGATCCTCTAGTCTATAGAGCGGGGGAGAAGCCACCCAGTGTTGTTTTCTGTCCCAACGAGGGAGATGCAACTTGGAGTTGTATTGTAAGCCCAGGATTCTCCGAGCTGGGGATTCCTATAAACGCTTGCATCAGGAGACTCCTATGCTAAAAGTTGTCACAAACAGCAATACCAAAGAGGAAGAGCACTGCTTGTTTCATTTTGGTTTTCTAATTCAAGGAAATATTTGATTTTTTCTTTTTAATGGGCACTTAGTGGTAGGCATTATTTCTCATAACTCCAATAGCTGTCCAAAAAGATTTAAAAACACATACACATTAGATTCCTTTTTTTCTTTTCCTTTCCTTTTTTTCTTTTTCTTTTTCTTTTTCTTTTTCTTTTTCTTTTTCTTTTTCTTTTTCTTTTTCTTTTTCTTTTTCTTTTTCTTTTTCTTTTTCTTTTTCTTTTTCTTTTTCTTTTTCTTTTCCTTTTCCTTTTCCTTTTCCTTTTCCTTTTCCTTTTCCTTTTTCTGTTAAGGAAAAGAACAGTGTCACGGTCTGACTGCTTGGGGTAGCTAACAGAGATAATTGTCACAAGTGGACAAAGCTATAGCTTCCTGAGCGGTGTCTCAAGAAAAACGAGGTGTCACTTGCTCCAACCTTTCTGGTTCCTGTATAAAGCACAAGTGTTTCTTAAGTAGAAATGAATGGCTCTGACAGCCTCCTCTCTTTCCCCTGGAAGCTATCTATAAAGAGCAGCGCTGTGGCCACTTGCACTGAGTGCAGCAGGGGCAGTTCAGGAATTATTGCCCAGAGCATCTTTGGTGGCACACAAGTTCTTCTCTTAAATAACATCACTTTAAGACCATCCAATTGTCCTCAAAGTAATGACTTACAGGCATCTTTTGCTCTCTTGTTACTGCAAGGAAAGGAGATTTTTGCTCTCTTCTGAGTCCCTGCAGTGCCTCAGGAACCCGTCCCCAGCGTCTTGCTCCCTGGCTGCTGCTGCCAGCGGTGGGCAGCTGCTGCTGGGCGATCTCGTGGTGCTCCTGCAGCTGCTGCTCCTGCTTGTGCACAGCTCCCCCTGTGCTCTGCTCCCCGAAAAAAATAACCCCACGACCCTCACAAAGTGGCAGAAACCCTGGCACGACTCAGCCCTTAGAATGGTGATAACAGGCTTTTTGTAACTTCTGTTTAAAAAAAAAAAAAAGAAAAAGAAAACGAGAGAGACAGTGGGGACATGAAACTGATGGACATCTTAATGTATTTATTTCTGGCATTCTGATGAAGTGCCATGCTTATGGGATATATATGGGATATGTTTGCAGTTAAAGCCAATGAGTTAACAGTAATCTTTTTTTTTTTTTCTTTTTCTTTTTCTTTTTTTTTTCATTTTTCTGTCTTTTAAAAGAAAACAAGTTTAAAAGGAGTAACAACAACAAAAAGAATCGACTGGAATTTTCGGTAGCAAAGAATTGTCTTTAGAAGGAAAAAAAATAATCTGTCAAACTGAAAACAGCTATTTTGCAAGTAACTCTAAGAAAATTAAGATATTCCCCCCTCCTTTTCTTCTCATAATCTTCGAACAATTTGATTAAAAAAAAAAGAGTTTAGAATTATTAAAACACAGTAAAAGAAAATCTCCTAAATGTAATAATTATAATGTTGAATTTTGTATCTACTCTTAGGAACATTTATCTCTTCTTTGTACTTAACAATTCAAAGTTCTCATCTATGGGATTTCACAACATAGATTACAATATTTTGACAATTAATTTGTTACTCCTTTTCAAGAATTAAGAGAATTATTAATTATACCCTTATTCAGAAGTCTAACTGAAGCTTTAAGTTAACATTTCCTAATAGGCATTTAATTCTGATTTAATAAGACAATTATTGCATGATAAACAAATATCAATTGATTATTAAACACATTTATTTTGGATTAACAGTGATTCCATAGATATCATAGCCATTAAACATCAGTGAAAAGACTTTCATTAATAAACTGATTTATTTACCGTGGCATAAGTGTCCTGTTCAATCTAAATTAAATATCTATTTGGGATCCTCAGCCTGTAGTGTTACCAAAGGCATCTTCATGTTTGAACACTGCACAGAAAGCATTTCTAGTTCAGATTCGCAAGATGCAATCTCAAAAATAATCAATCCGTATAAAAAAGACTTTGGTTACTGCTAGATAACTAATTATACAGACACAGCCTTTGTGCATGTCTCTATGAGATATTCTTTGTTATTCTCTTTCTTCTGAACTTTGATGCTGTTTGAAAATAAATTTAATTACCCACTGGTTATTTACACTACATTTATTTCTTCCATCTAGAATTCTTTTCAAATTTTAAACCTGAAGGTCAGTATCATTTTAGAGCAGTTTATTATTCATGGATATTGCAGAATTTCCAGGGAGAAAAATTGCTTTATTTTAAAATTAGAAGGCAAGAAAAGAATTGTAAAATGAACTGCATCAGGCCTGATCCTGCAGCACACTGTGGTAGCTGTTTGACTAAATAAAAGCTGCAGGATCAGGTCTTAGTATTTTTCTCCATTAATAACAATAATTTCAAAACTACCATTTAAGCTATGTGTATGTATGATACATGCATATTTATGAAATGATGACAGGGTATCTATCTTTTCTCTAAGAGTTGTCCCACAAGACTTCATGGGCCTTACCAGGTAAATTCACATGAGTGAAAGCCCTCACGGGTACAAGTGTCAGCAGGGACGTGCTTTGTGTCCGTTTTTCTCAGCTTTGCTTTTTTAAAGGCCAAATGTTAGGTGCAGCTGCAGACCTCCTTAACCCAGTAAAATGATTTAGTGTGGCTTATGTTTGCCACATTGATTTTATTATTTTTTTTAATTTTTTAAAAAGTTATTTTTTAAGGAAGGTTTAAAAGCCCTTTATTGCAATAAGCCAGTTAGATGCTTAGATGACCTCAGAAAGAGCAAGCAGTTTTTGTCCCAGTGTTGCAGCTGTATGTAGACACAGCGATTCTTATCTTTGGTCTCCTTCCCCTGCACTTGTGAAAAAAAATCTCAAAAAAAACAAACAAACACGGTCAAGAGGTGTTCAATGGGGATCCCCCCAGCCTGCGCTTGGGGCTTGGGGCAGCAGCTGATGAGAGATGGGCAATCTTTTCTCAGAGAGCTTGTCTAGCATTTGACCAGAACAACTTCCTTGATTCTTCTTTATTGTTTATGAGAAATAAGATTTAACAGTGGCTTATACTTGACTATGGGCGAAGGGATATTTTTTCACTTAGACTGGTTGTGTATGGTTAGAATGAAAGCTGTTGAGAGAGGAATTCGAGTTGTAATGAGTATTTTGGGATGGAGGAAGTTGCTTCTGCCTGTCTGAGGGCACATCAGAGCCCAGCCTCATCAGTGCAAACAGCTGTGGGGGCTCCCTGGAGGGTGGTGTTTGGGGTGGGGATGCTGATGGAGGGAAAGCAGCTCAGTTTGCTCCCAAGCCTTTGGCTGGCCGCCCTAGCCCACCTCCAAGCCAGTGCAAACCCTGCCCTTGTTTCCATGGATAGGATCCGACCTGTTCTTGCTACAGCTGCAGGAGATGCGGAAGTGGGTGTTGGTGAGCACACAGGGGGCTCCTTCTTGCTCCTGCAATGGACACAGCAAGGTTGGTGAGACTTTTGCACGAGGGCAGAAAAGTGGAGCAGAGTTCCTGGCTTTGTTATTTTTCCCCTCTTCCCCTGGTTGCTTCTGGTTTTGTGTGTCACTTTTTTTTTTTCTTTTTTTTTTTTTTTTTTCTTGAATGCCTTTGGATCAAATCACAATATTTGTAATGGCATTTTGCATGCAGAGTTTCCTGGGGCTAACGGCTTGCAATCACAAAAAGTGTTCCTGTTATGGCCTCTGTCAGGTGGGACCAGCCCCAGACTGGGCAGGCAGGCTGAATGCACCAGGTGAAACATCTCCTCCCAAACTAGCCACTAATGGATTGCCTCTTCCTGCTGCAGTAAGAGATCCTGTTAAGACCTTCTGCACACTGAAAGAAGGGTGAGAGGTTGAAGTAGGAAGGAGTTAGGTGCAGAGCTCCCCTCTGTTTCCCCCAGCAGTTCTGCAGAAGGGCCGTAGGGAGCGCTTGCTCTGTTCACCTCTGGTTTCACTTAAGCCTTAACAAAGTTGAGTGATCAACTTACAAATGAAGAACTGGCCAAATTGCTGTCGAACCTAAACTGCGATGGGAAATACCTACTTGGGGAACTTGCTATGTGTGGTGTAAGCTGGTCTGGAGGCAAAGACAGAGATTTTGTCTTGCATGGTGAAGCTGGGATTCGGCAGAGATGCCCGCCTCATTCCCCACCATGGCTGAGCACCGTGAGCTGTTGCTGATGGGGTCCCGTGCTGATGCCACATCTGACAGCTTGGTTTTTGCAGGGCATCTGAGTTTCTTTACCATGTTTCTTACATCTCCCCTATTACTGCTTTTAAGCCATTCTTCGTTTAATTGGCTCAGGAGAAAGGACTCGTTCCTTTGCCTCTAACTTTTCTTTTTTTCCCCCATGAAGTATTTAGGGAAAAAAAATTGCCGAGTATGTAAACTAGAGATCATTAGAGGTTGCAGGGTTTTTTGTTGCTGTTTTTATTTTTTTTTTTTAAAGACTAGATTCAGCAAAATGTTTTCTCCCAGGCTCTGGGTCTCTATTTAGGTGATTTTAAGCTCTGTTATTTATTTATATATTTATTCATTAGATAGGCCCACAGTCAAGGAGAAGGGGAACGCGGGGTTATTAATCTTTCCTGTCATCCACTCACAGATGTGAAGTTCACACCACAGCAAATGTGAAGTCAGCAGTACGCAACCACAAGGTGGAAACTTCAAGCAAAACAGGCTGCGAGAAATGGGGGTGGGAGAGGGAGAACAGGAGGGGAAGAGGGGAAAAGGGAAAGGGGGAAGGGAAAAAAAAAGGACAAGGGAGTGATGAATGGCGGAAGGGAAATGGAAAGATGGATGAACAAGGGAAATGGAAGGAGAGAAATGAGACGGATGGAAAAGGGTAAAGAGGAACAGCAGATAAGAGAGAAGAAAGTCTGAAGAAAGTGGGAGAGAAATGAGAGATGCCGAGACAGAATATTTAAGATAGGGCGTTAATGGAGCTGGGCCCGTCTGGGTGCTTGGATATCCTGAAGATGTAAGGGGTAATCACTCTCTCAGCATGTATATGCTATTGATATGTTAATATAATTTTCTTTTTCATCTGAAAGCAATGAAGTTTTCAAACTGGCTGATTAACTAGGTCTGGCTGGTCCTGTGTACGTACATGTATTCACAAACACGTCATATATAAATATTTATACTCTATACACAATAGTGTCTGCAGATTCCCATAAAGCAGCAGCCAGCATTAAAGGTCCTATTAGTATTGATGTGACATTGGACAGACATGTTTGTGCTGATATAACCTACTGCAATAGCAATCCCAATACAGCTTTTTGGGAATACCAAATGTAAACAGACATTATTAGAAACAGTGAGGATGTTATATTAAAAACAAGCCTGCTCTGATGCAATAGGAGGGGTTTCAACTTGTATTTGGCTACAGGTCAGTTAATATGCACATTCTTTACTATGACATAGTTTATCTTATGGGGTTTTTAAAAATGATTAATTTCTCTGTTGTCTTATGAGACTTAGCTATTAGAGCTGGTTATTTTTATGTAGTGAAAAGAACAGAGATAAGTTATCTCCTCATGCATGCATATATATTCACACATCCTGCAAACTACATGTTAAATCACTGTTTTAGTTAATTTACAAAGATGGCTGTATACAGAAAGGACCCATTAAATAAGGCAAATGGTCGGGTTGGCTCACACCATCACCCCAGTGAAGCTAGGCTGCTTGTTCCTCCTCTGCCCGTTTCAGCAGCTCTGCAGGTCCGTCCATGGGTTTAAACTGCAAGCTGCACGTTCGGCCCTGGGGCTCCTGCACCAGCGGTGCCAGAACCTGAATGGGGTGTGGTGGGGAGGGGAGAGGAGGAGAGGAAGGGAGCAGGCCAAAAAGCCCCAGCTCCCCTGTAACAGGCAGCAATGATAGCCTGGCTCTTCTGGCTTGTGCTTGTCCCCTTTTAAAATGCTTAAGAGCAATTCTTGCTTGTGGTGGCCAGGCAGCGTGTGTCTGAGGTCTAAAGCTAAAAATCTGCCACTGAAAGTACTTCCAGGGTATTTAGCCCTTGTTTGTGAGGAAGGGAAAAACATTCAGTATAATTTACAGAAATCTTACTGTCTGCACCTGGAAACACCTCTGAAAGGGTCCCTTTTCTGGAGTTAACTGGCCCCTTCCCACATTCAGATTCTCAAGGAGTAACTTGTACACAAGCCTTGGGTTTTGGTTGGTTTATTTGATGACCTGCTAGATGCACTTATTTACTGGATTTTTGGTGTTCAGAAGATTTCTGCAGGCTTCTGTGAGTTATTCTATATTTGTTGTAGTATTTTTGTATAACACACCTGGGGTTGTTAGCTTTAGGACTTAAATATCTGCTTAGTTCTTGTACCAGTCCATAATATTAGACTGCTTGGATAAATCAAGGAAATAGCTATATTATTTATAGCACGTGTTATTACTTACTGTACTACTGGATCTGTGCCTGAGTCTTTCTGTGGTTGAGCTCGCAGTGCTGAGCAGCGCAATGCCACCTTACTTTCCTTTGCTTTATGCATAGTGAGTGAGCATGGTACTGGTTGGACTTGTTTTAATGCTATCAAAAATCACCCATGTAATCTTAACGCTGTTTTTTAGGACCTGAGGATATCTTCTCTCTGCTATCGGGATTCTTAAAAATGGGAATTTGTTATTCATATGTCAAGGTGCTTGCTCAGAGCAGAGGCAGCAATACTGGTTGTGAACGGGTCAGCAATAAGCCAGGGGATTTAGGATCAGTGGAATTAATTTGGCTTCAGTTATTTTAGTTTCATTGGCACAAGCTGGGAACTTGGCCCTATTCACCTGAATACCGGGTTTCAGCGAGTTAATTCGGAAGGCTCTATGGCACAGGACACTTCATCTCCTCCTCTTCCTGGTCAAATTTTCCTGATAGATACTGCTTTTATGTGGATTTCTGGCTTTGGTCTCTTGTATGTGTGCATGATGAAAGTAGAGACGAGACAAACATCCCCTCCCTTCTGCAAAGGCTCAAGATAGAAAGGGATGAAAAAAAAAAAAAAGGTATAAAAATAGAGCTGTATTTTTTCCCCCTTGGAAGGACCTCCCACTGACTATATCATTATCCGTCTCATGTAGGATATTGGATTCAGGATCTATAGCAGTGAGCTGTGTTAGTATTGAATCTCATTTGATTTAATAAACCTCTCTTCTCCCTTGCCTGCTCAGTCTTTCCAGTCCTTTTCAGGTGGTAGTAGCTTCCCTGTAGTGTTGGCCATAAAGGGACACATAATGCACTGCCCCCTTTATACGGTGATGTGGGGACCTTCATGCTCCACTGGAAATGTAGATTTTTGTTTTGCAAAAATAACCCCCTCTTCTTTCCCTCCCCTTATGGATGTAAGTTATGTATGGATGTATGTCCATTCTATAGGTATGCTGTTTGCTTGCTGTTATTCTCTACAGTTGGACCTATTTCCAGTGAATTTGGTCATCAAGAAATATTTTAAGCATACTTAAGGTCTGGAATTATTTCAGTTTTTTATTGTATGAAGTACAGTTTTGGAGATAAGTTGAAAATTTTGAGGGGGGAAAAGAAGGGGGAATAAGATTTAATTTCAAGTGAAAGGGAGCATCACAAACTGTTGTCAATTGACATTTTCAATACATTAGAAAGAGGAGGTTATTAAAGAAAAGAATAAAATTTCAAATCCTGCAGAATTAACGACATAGCAAAGTCTATGCTTCAGGAAGAAAGAGTTTTTGGAACCTGTCTTTAATTTTCAAATGGGAGTTCTTTTGCTGGATGTGATGAGGCTTGGCATGTCTCTTGGCATGTATATGGATATTCAAGCTTGGTGTCTTTGGGCTCTAATTTCCCTAGAAGAATTTAAATAAACCTTTCTCAAGCCAATCGGAGTTAACTGTATAGTAAGAAACTGTGCTCTATGTCTATATTGAACTTGGAAAAAATGAAATTGTGCTCTTTGCTCTAATGTATCAGGCAAAGCTGGCTTCAGTGAATGTGCAGAGGCAAGGTTTTGTTTTGAGAACTGGAATATACTGAAGCTTGATTACAGACAGTAGGCAAACTGGCAATCCGTTTTAGCGTGTTTTTAGTATATACTCCATGTAGGTCGGAAAGATATTAAGTTTCTATAAATTTCAGTAAAATAGAGTGCCTAGTGATAGAAAAGTTGCCTAGCTGCTGAAAAAAAAAAAAAGCTGTATTATAAGTGCAATCCCATCTTTGACTCCAGAGACTCCATGAGACCAAGCCAATTCTTACCAGAAGCCAATTAGAGACTGTTATAATGGGGGAGATCCAAAGATATGAGGTATGGTACTTTGTGGAACAACTTGTTTTGAAGACAGGATGCTGTATGGAAGTCAGGGTAGTCGAAGTCCTGTCCTCACTGTCAGTTTATACCAACAGGGTTTCTAAAATTTACCTGCATCTCTAGTAGGTTACCGACTCAGAATTTGCAGTAAAAAAAATGGATCCCAGTGAT